CCCCAGCGCCGCTGCCACGTCGTCGCCCACCAACTCACCGGCGAGGTTTAGGACGGACACCCAGCGCATCTCGCCGCGGCGGATGCCGTATATATCCGCGCGCCGAGCTTGAGGGACGCCCCCCCACCGGCCGGCCGCCCCTTCCCCTCGCAAATCACCAAACAGCCCCTCGTCGTAAAAGGAAGGAGACGAACGAACGAGGCAGGGGAAAGGGGAGAAGATTTTTCAGATTTTGCGGCAGCGACCTACCCAGCTCCGCGAGAGAGACCGACCGAACGAGCGAGCGGCAGCAGCTACTTTCCCCTCCCCCGGCATGACGCCGCATCTGCCCGCCGTCGCCTCCCCCTCCTCCTCCTCCTCCACGACCACCACATCCCGCGCCGCCGCCGCCTACCACCACCACCACCACCTGCTCGACGCCGCCGCCGCGCCGCCGTCGTCCTCGCCGCACCAGTACCGGAGGCGTAGGCGGCGCCGGGTGCCGGGGTGCCTCCGCCCGCGCCCGCCGCGCGCCGCGTCCGTCCGCTGCTGCGCCGCCGCGGCGCCCGCGCCGCAGGCGGCCGTGCCCGCGGCGGCCACCACGCGGGTCTTCGTCGTCTCCGACCTGCACACGGACTACCCGGAGAACATGGACTGGGTGCGCCGCCTCCCCGCCGAGGTCGGTGCCGGCAAGGGGCAAGGCGTCGACGCGCTCGTCGTGGCCGGCGACGTGGCCGAGACCAGGGACAACTTCGCGCGCACCATGGAGGTGCTCAGGGAGCGATTCGCCGCCGTCTTCTACGTTCCAGGGAACCACGATCTCTGGCTGCGCCGCGAGGGCGGACGCTACGTGAGTCCATTTCCTTTGCATCACTTCCGTTAGTCGATGCATTTCTTCCTTGTCCTGCAAGCCAGGTGTTTGACGAAATGCCTTGGCGTACCTATTACGGCATATTATGCTGTTTGGTTAGTCCACTCTGATGGTTTGTGCTAACCCAGTAATTCCACTTAATTTTTTTTATCCAATGGCATATTGCAACGCTTGCCTGCATAGTCTGTCTCCCTGTTTTATTTAGGAGGCCTAATTTTAGACGCACTGCAGTGCAGAGTTTACCAATGAGGTTTTCATTTTGCTCATTGGTTTGTAGCAGCCCCGTCTATCTGAACTGCATTTCAGTTGTAAATGTTGTTTTGTGCTGGTAATATTGTACTTGTTTCTTGACAGAAGGGTTACCATAGCGCTTAGATTAGTTGTTGCCGCTTAGTTCCTTTTAGTAACTTATGCCGCCCTGTTCGCTTGGCTGATAAGCCATGGCTGAAAGTAATGTTGGCTGATTTATTGTGAGAGAAAAATATTGTTCGTTGGCTGAAAAAAGTACGGCTTATAAGCCAAGCGAACAGGGCCGCAAAGTGTTGGCTCAATGAAAAATGAAATGTGGGGTTGTATTGTTAGATAAAGGATAGCTTAAGTGACAGTACATCACATTCTTCTTTGACTGCATCATTCAGTTTTTCCTTTTTCACGATATCAATACAGCATTAACCTTATTTGCTAATATATATCATTGGTGAGGCTCTCTCAGTTACTCAAATTATTCCTTCCAGATGGATTCGCTGGAGAAACTGACTGCATTGCTTGATGCGTGTAGTGAGCTGGGTGTGGATACAGGTCCAAGAACAATAGGTGACTTGGGAATCATACCATTGTTCTCATGGTATCACAAGGTTGTTTATTTTTCTTGCTTCATTAACATTTAATATTTTGTCCGAATTATAATGCACTACTTTACTAGAATTATCCCGCTTTCTCATCTTGCTTAATTGTCCTCCAGAGCTTTGATAAGGAGAAGGATGTTAACAGTGTGCGTGTCCCTTCGCTAGAGATGGTAGGTTGGTCTTTCCCCCAATACCTACTCATTTGCAGAACACCATTAGTTACCAAGTACTGCTACTTAGTGCAGTTTAAGATATCTTGAATTATATATTCCATATCCTCAAGGGGTTTGCTTGATTTATTCTGCAGAATTAGATATCTCAATATCAGCTATTTAAACCATGAGCACCAAACTAACAAACTAGCTATCCAAACTATAATGTTCAATGAGAAATGTAGCATGCATACAAGCCATAAGGCACAAATATTTACTGGTGTGGACAAGCAAAAACAATCATGCGCTCTTTCTTGTTTTCTTATGTAGAAAATTGCACGATTCCTCTTGATATCTTTGAACTTATAGGTTTACGGTTTTGTATAATCAGGCTTGTAAAGACTTCCATGCTTGCCAATGGCCTTCAGACCTGACAAATGATGACGAGGCTCTTGCTCTTTACTTTGACAAGCTGAATGACAAGAATCATGATGCTATTGAAGAAGTGAAAAGTAGCAGCAAACAAATATTAACATTTTCACACTTCGTACCTAGGTGCATTGTGCTCCTCCTACCTAAACCTTCCATTTTTCTGAGCTTCTGTTTGATATTTGTTTGACCTTCGGTTTTGGGTATGCTTGACTGAATTACTTGTTGAAATGCAATTAGTGATAGCCACCCAATAAATACCTTTTTTTGCTGCTTCCATTCCTCCTAGCATCTCAGTTTGTCTGTTGCATCTCTTTCTTGCTTTGTCAGCATCCTAAAACATTTATATTAATTATTATTGGTCAGTGTGTTTCATTTCTTGTTGCATTTTTATGATGAAAACGCCTCAAAGAGAAACCATCTTATCAATCAAGGTGCCAACTTGGAAGCAACATTTGTATCTCAGTATCTGCACTAGGACTTCACGTTTGCCTCTTTTTTCACCCCAAAGGAAGACATTTTATGTGGTTGTGTGTGTAGCATTTCAATTGCAAACCACATGGTGGAAAACAGTAGTTTCCATACTGGCTGTCTAATTACATGAAATTGCAGACATACCAGCAATTGTGAATCTGTGATGGAGGCTATCCTTTACCTAACTGGATAGTCTTGCCCCTGCTGTATTTATGTTTTCAGTGTTTTGAAATTGCCATTCAACATTTAGGATGTCTTAGTATACATTCATGAAACATCAAGCCCAAAACTAATGTCTTCTATACGATACTGCAGGCAAGAGTTGTGTCCGGAGAAACGTATGCTTTATTACCCATACCTTCCTAAGGTCATTGGCTCTGATTTTTTGGAGAGAAGGCTGAGAGATATACACAGCAATAGAAAAGACGGAGCAGCTTGCCATGTTTTTGGGCACACTCATTTCTGTTGGGATTCTGTGGTTGATGAGATCAGGTACTGATCTGGTGGTCTGGCCATTTCTGAGATCAAGATGCATGATGATTATTCTAACTCTAACGATATAAAATTCCTCCAATGCAGGTATGTGCAAGCCCCTCTGGCATACCCTCGAGAAAGAAAGCGTCGGATGAACAGTGAAGGCTGGCTGCCATTTTGTGTATACCGTGACGGTTTCAACCCAGAAATATATCCGGCATTGTGGTCAGACTACTACAACAAGAACAAAAGGGAACCCGAGAACACTCAGCTCGCGCCGTGGGTTGCCAGCCATTTTGCCAAGTACCACAAGTTCCACTGACCCTTTCTGAGTTCCCTTGGCTTTTTGCCGAAGTGGATGCGGTTCGTCTGTTCAGGATGGTGTTGAAACCTGCATTTACCTGGAAAAAGGAGATATTGACGTTTTACCTGTACATGATATTTTTCTTGTTTCCACTCTTACCATAACTTTTGGGCAAGTAAGCGCCAGCCTCTGTTCGTTGTATGTTGCAGAAATCTGAATAACTAGAAAGACAGGCGCGGCTTTGCCGCGCCCTTGCAGTAGGCAACTAGCCCCTCTATATATGTCTCTAGGAATTTCTGAATTGAATCCCCTTGTTATCACTCATTCTGGAATCAAACTATGACAGCTTCAAGATCACAAGCAAGTAGCCTTGTAAATTATTTGGAGGCAGAGTAAGCATACAAGTTTGGAGAAGATTATCTCTGTAGACATCTCTTGCAATGATCCTTGTGTATGCAAGGCAATGCTCCTTGGACAAATGCACAGTTTGATATATGTGATGTTTTTCAAGATTCAGTTGTAGCTAGTAGATTTCTAATAGGCTATGTTGTTTTTCAGTAGACAATAAACGTATATTTGACGTTGAAGGCAACGCAGCCAATGTGGCCAGGAAGATCTCTGATGCAAGGGTTCGACCTTGTGTTGTTTCTTCAGCAGCAACTCCATGTCTTCGTGTATGCTAAAATTTGCCTGTCTTGTCGAAGAGTATGGAAGCATCAACGCATTGTATCTTAGTCTTAGTATCTCCAGGATAATCTACCACTTCTCTTTTGTAACTGTTGAAAATGTTTTGTTCAGTCAAAATTGAGGAGATAAAATTATAACTGGAGGTGATTGAAAACAATTACCAAACTGAGTCTTCATGTCTCATGGTCTAAGGCAAAGACTATTAGAATAGGTAATTCTAAGATGATTCATGACACACACAACTAATGAGATCATCCGCAATGAACATAAGATAAGTTGAAAAAACTATTTGAGGCCATCCACTATGAGGCTTACAATGAATACCAGGTTATGAACAAGCATCATTATTAGGATTTATAGAAAATATGCCTTGACATATATAGTTAGTACATTCGGTAACATCTCATGACCTAATCTTTCACATGGTTCAACAAATTTAGTTTGTGAAGTATGGTGAACTGGGGTGATGCTAATTTAGCTCATCGTAGGATGTATTAAATCATCAGGGAAGAAGCAGTCGTAGCCAATCATTTATTTTAGAGCAGAAGTCACTCTAATGTATTCTTCCATACTAAGATCTACAAAAGTGGACCATGCTTTTTGTGAACATTACATGCCCTTGAAGAATTTGAAGTCCCAGAAATGAAGACAGTAAAAATCAAGTAAACACCATGATTTAAAGCCACGGACACCGAGTAAGCAAATACTATAGCCATGCTGGATTCACCTTGAGTGGCTTCTTGAGTGGCGATCCTGCTGTGGCCACCCCTCCAGGTTTAACATTCTTAATGCGGTTTGGCGATGGGGATGGAAACCGTTGCGGAGTGGGCGGTGTTGCCTTCACTTCCTTCAGCACAGAGGGAGACCTTTGCTTCCCTGCTTCCACCTTCAGCCCCACTTTCTTTCCCTTCCTGCAGAAACCAACATCAGCGCCGTAAGCAACAATCAGTACAACCTATACGCATAAGTTTGCATTGGGATGACTATTTGCAAATTACATTGGGCTTGGACTCTTTTTCACTGTTTCTTGTCTCGCCACCTCCTTCACGGTATCTCATGGGAACTGGATTGCTGACGCTGGCATCAGGAGATACCTTCTCCATCAAATCGCTTCGGATTCCTGCACGAATGAAACTGTCAGGAGCCTCATAGAGAGAACCCGACAATTGAATTCCAGCATTCCTTCGATGAGGAGAGGTTTACATTGGGTTTGAGCTGTATTCCTCCTGTGTGTCTGTGACAGGCCAGCCGCCTCAACCATCCGCTTCAGCTCATCGTAGAACTCCGAAATCTGGCCAAGTATATCCTTTCCAAAGAAGAGATTCCTCGCTGAGAGGGTGCTCTTGAGCTGCCTCGGCGGGGCGTATTGTTGAGCAGCGCCTCCTTCTCAGAATTGTCCGGCCGCTTCTCCGCACTGGACTTGATGGCCTCCTTGGCATTCTTGTTCCACCGAGGGGCACCGAACGGCGGCCTACTAGTTGGCGCCTGTCGTGGGGGCGGCGTGGCCAGCGCAGGGTCCTGGTTCTCGCTGTCCTCCTGGAACCTCTTCTTGGGCGCTGCCTTTGGCTTCGGCGGCGTGGAGGAGGCAACGGCGCCGCCGCCCTGCCACTTGAGATTGCTACTGCCGTCCCTGAGCAACGCACGAAGGGGGGTGAGAACGGATTTGATCGAGGCGGGCGCGGCGCGCAAAGAACAAAAAGGGCCGCAAATCAAAAGATCAGCACCGCTCGTTTAGAAGCAAACTTCCAATGTTGCAAGAGAATCCATCCCCAAGGAAGAAAGCAAGAACCGGGCAACCCGTCGATCAGCGCGCACTGCATTGATTTGATCTCCTCGCAGTCAAATCATAACGGATCCCAACCAACAGGCAACAGGAGCACCGCCCGCGCGCCCGCCTGCGAGGGGGGAGCCAGCAAGAGAGCGGGAGGAAGGAGAGCGTACCGGGGCGGCAGAACCAGGCCTTGTCGTCGACGTCGGCGCGGCCGGCGTTGGGGTCGGTGAGGTCGGCCCAGTGCGGGGCCTCGATGCCCTCGTAGGTCTCGTCGCGCCAACAGGCCGCAGCCGGCAGCCCCGGCCCGGCGCACCGCAGCAGCCGCTCGCGTCACGGCCCCAAGCCCGAGCCGGCCGGCTGTCGCCGCCAGTGCCTCGCGCACGCGCAGTCGCCCGCCCACCGCCCGCCGCCGCTGCGCCTCGCCTCGTCGCCCGCTGCCGCCGCCGTGCCTCGAACAGGAGCTGCCGCCCACCGAGCCGGATGCGCGCTAGGGTTTGGGTCGAGGTTGGGGAATTGGACGAACAGCCGCTCGACGGATGAGCCCAAGAAGGTTCCCGAGGTTTCGGGTTTACAGCGAAACGGGTAGAGACCAAACCGATCCGCAATCGAACGGCCACCGTCGCAAGTTCGCCAGATCGAACGGCTTGCGGCTTAACGGGCGACGTGGCACGATGGATAGTCCGCTTTTGGAAGCAGGATTAGTATATAGAGATGTGTATAAGATTCTTCAAAGCCTTGCTGCAGAGATAGTGAAATATAGCTGGTTCTGTTCATCTAACAAGCACCATCTGTCCATTTGGACTTCTCTCTAGTGGAGTTTTTAACTGCAAATCACAGATAATTCTGCTTCACCGTCGTTACTATTTTAGGTTATTCTTAATGGGGCATTCGCAAATCATTTGTCTAAAATCTGTGGAGGAAGAGGATTACACGTGGCTGGCGCTTGCCTCCATTCAGGCTTGGGGAGGGAAAGTTCGCGTCGCGGGGCATCATTCCGCCTTTCCCATTCCTCCGATAGTCGGGCTATGTTAGGCTATGGATTGGAATTAGGGGACAACCAGATGAATCTCATAGTTCAGTGAATGTGTAAATGAATGATGGAATGAAACGAACCAGCGATCGATTTCATTGATGTCCCCCTCCCTCCCCCTCCGCCATATCGCCGGAGGCCCGAGGGAGTGGAGATCCATCGTTTTTTATAAGTTTTTTTTTCAGTAGATTGAGTCCTTAGGGTTATGGTGTCTTCATGTCAAGTTTTTTGGTTTTGGTGATTTATCTCCTCATCCTCTCCGGCGACGGCGAGAGAGCAGGGTGGAATTGTTTTCTCCATAGCGGCTCTATTGAAGATGAGGGCGACTACTATGGCGTCAGCATCCTCACTGGTACGACGACATGGAGACTTTTATTTTCGGACGGCGATATCAAGGCGGAGATGGTGTCGCCACCATGGAATAATTTTCTCTGGTCTCTTCTCCGTTTTATCGTGGTTATATCTGATCACGATGAAGGACTAGGGAGAATAAGGTTCAGATCCGTCTTGCTCATTCTTCGGTCATAGAAAGAAGAAGAAGGAATACATTAGAAAGAAGAAGTTTGTCAACTCCGCCTACATGAATGTTGGCCGTCGTTTGTTGGGCATCTGTTCTTAGGCATTTTGCCGAGTGTTTGTCTGTGCGGTCATCCATACTGCAAAGCGTCACACATGTTTGGTTTTAAGATCTGGAGATATTCACAGCGTGAGTATAATTTAGATAAAAAATAGTTTCTGGATATCTGTATAATCCAGAGTGCTCGTAACGTGTTCACGTACCCAGATATTACCTAATATAATTCTTTTTTCGTCGTAAAAAAAATAGGGTGAGAGGAGGTTGCACTTGTGCTGTTGCACGGTAGTCGTCTGGTGTCATGTTCGTTTGAACTTATCAGTCGTACCATTTCAGCGAAATAATAGTGTTTTTTCTCACAGCAAATTAGCATCAGTCGTTTTTTTAGTCAGCCAAACGGGGCATGATGTGGCGGGGATAACACACCCACTGCTACTTCCACTGTGGGCCTCGGTATTTGCTGCTGGACGTTCGTTCATAGATGCTTCGCTTAGGCCCAAGGCCCACAGTTTCTTAATAGAAGAATTACAAATATATGTATTGTTTGCTAAAAAACAAATATATGTATTGAAGTCAATTCTTTTCGGATACACGCTAACGCCCGGACGTCCCGACGGACACCCGCAGCTGCTCTGTTTCCCATGCGTAGCGAGCGATCGGTGCAGACCTCGGCTTGCTGCGGGGCCACCATGCGAGCATCGTGCTGCCATCAGCCCACCCGGGTGAAAGCTCTAGTTTGATTTTGGTGAATTGATGAAACCCTAAGTGCTAACCTAGTTTATCAAGTGATCATGAGATAGGTAGCACACTCCAAGTGGTGAAGCAAATAAAGATCATAGCATGATAAAGATGATGGCATGGTGATGATCAAGTGCTTCGACTTGGAAAGAAGAAAGAGAAAAACAAAAAGCTCAAGGCAAAGGTATAATTTGTAAGAGCTATTTTGTTTTGGTGATCAAGACACGTAAAGAGTGTGATCACATTTAGGATTGACAGCCGTACTATTAAGAGGGGTGAAACTCGTATCGAAATGCGGTTATCAAAGTGCCACTAGATGCTCTAACTCATTGCATATGCATTTAGGATCTAGTGGAGTGCTAAACCCCTTGAAAATGTTTGTGAAAATATGCTAACACTTGTGCACAAGGTGATATACTTGGTGGTGTTGGCACATTGGAGCAAGGGTGAAAATATGCTAACACTCGGCGGGATTCGGCGCTTTCGGGAAAATGGAATGCCTATTTTCTATTGCGCCCGGATGCAAATTCTTGTGGTTGACACATTGGAGCAAGGGTGGAGAAGATAGAAGTGAGAACATAGCTGATGCCAGCGTCGGTCCAGTGACCGGACGCTGAATCCAGCAGCACCGGACGCTGACTGCCTGCGTCCGGTCGCGTTGACTGTCGGTACAGTGGATAGGGTTTACCACCGGACGCTGGGCTGTGTTCGGTCGAGGTGGACCGGACGCGTCCGGTCGAGGAAAACCAGGTTTTGACCCTTACTATACTCGACCGGACGCTGAGGTTCGAGCGTCCGGTCGGTTCGAGCGTCCGGTCAGTTTTAACCGGAGCGTCCGGTCAGCGTCATAGCCGTTGGAATCTGACGAACAACGTTTGAAGCCGATGACACGTGGCGTCCATCTGTGGACCGGACGCTGAGTCCAGGGTCCGGTCAAGTGGACCGGAGCGTCCGGTCAGAGCGCAGAGTACCCAGTGAAGGGGTACAACGGCTCTATTTCGTGGGGGCTTCTATTTAAGCCCCATGGCCGGCTGTGGCTCATATCTTTGGCCATTTTCATTGACATAGCAACCTTGTGAGCCTAGCCAAAGTTCTCCCACTCATCTACATCATTGATTCATCATCATAGTGAGATTGGGAGTAAATCCAAGTGCATTGCTTAAGTGATTGCATCTAGAGGCACTTGGTGATTGTGTTTCGCTGCGGATTTCGCTTGTTACTCTTGGTGGTTTCCGCCACCTAGACGGCTTGGAGCAGCAAGGATCGTTGAGTGGAGGAGGTGATTGTCTCCGACTCCGATCGTGGTGATTGTGAGGGGTTCTTGACCTTTCCCCGGCGGAGTGTCAAAAGGTACTCTAGTAAATTGCTTGTGGCTTGTGTGATCCTCATCTTATGTTGGTTGTGCGGCACCCTATTGAGGGTTTGGCGAGTGATGCCAATCAGCGCGTGAACCTCCAAGTGAGTGAATCGCCACAACAAGGACTAGCTTGCCGGTAAGCAAGTGAACCTCGGTAAAAATCATTGTGTTCATCATTTGATTCCGAGGTGATTGGTCTACATTGGTATTCATTATTGTGATTGATTGGTTCCTGCCACTACACGGCGGTATAACTCTCTTGCTCACTCTTACATTACCGCAAACTAGTTATCAAGCTCTTTAGTGTAGCTAGTTGTGAGAGCTTGTTTGTTTGATTAGTGTTGCTCTTTAGTTAGTCTTTGAGAGCACACTAATTTAGCTAAGTGTCATAGCTATTGTGTGGACATACACTATTCGAAATAGAATTGTGGTAGGTGGCTTGCATTTTAGTAGGCTAGCGCAACACTCGCTTCGCCGCAAAATTGTCTAACACATTTTGTTAAGTGTTGTTGTAGAATTTTATTAGGCTATTCACCCCCCCTCTAGCCATTAGGACCTTTCACCGGGGCCACCAACCGCGCTTGTCAGGTAGGGTTCCCGTCCGAGCTCGAACTGTTGCTGCAAGATGGAGGGAAGGGAAGGGGGGAGAGAGAGAAGAGGAGAGGACGAGGTGCGCCGTGCGAGGTAGGAGGCAAAGCCCTGCGACAGGCCGTTGTCCGCCAGCCAGCGCTATTGCAACATGTTTAACACCCGATTTACTTTTGAAACATCAATATGAAATATTTGCAACATACGTCCGAGGACAGACGAAACACTCGAAACATGTGTCTTAAGCATTTGCAAAAAAACCTAGAAAATACTTGAAAAGTCATTGCAAAACATATGTAACATTTAGATAAAACACTTGTAACATAAGTGTGAAAATTATGCAACATCCAAATACACACGCTTACAAAATGTCTGAAAAAACAAATGAAACATTTGGAACATACGCTTGTAACATACGTCTATAGCCATTGCAATATATGCAACATCCTAATCTACTTTTGCAACATCCACATGAAGCATTTGCAATATACTAACGCCGAACTCCCCTTCCCTCTCAGTCACACATATGCGCAACACCATTTGTGGGCCTTGGGCTAGCCCGGCCCCTGGTGATGGCGTGATGAAAAATGGCCCAGTAGACCGTGCTTGGGTCGTCAGCCAGGCACGAACCCACCTCAACACAGCCCGGTGGCACGCCTGGCCTGGTCTGGTCGGGTCGGGCTGGGCCGTTCGAATGCTCATCTATGACCGTCATGTGCATACTTCCCTCTACTCCGTATAGGTGTGAATCAGTGAATGTATGTATTTCATAGGTGTTGTGAATACATTGTATAGGTGAGGATGTCGCCTCATTTACCATGTGCGACGCGCCGATGAGCACCCTGTTCGTTTGGCTTATAAGTCGTACTGTTTCAGCCAACGAATAGTATTTTTCTCTCACAACAAATCAGCCAACAGTACTTTCAGTTATGGCTTATCGGGCACAGATCATTTCAGTGTCAGTCACCAGTCGTCCAGACCAGGGTCCAGACTCCAGACCACCGTACCAAAACTATAGGTAGGGCAGTGCGAACGTCCCATAGCTGAGACATCTCCGATCCATTTGCCAATGAGTACGAAAAGTTGACAATCAGAACCAGCCAGATACGATACTATACAAGTCCTGCCTTTTTTACCTCGATTTTATTACATAATACACACTATAGTAACCAGTTGAGATGTACATACATCATCTGATTCACCGTCTCCAACGCTGTGGGGCGACCAACAAGCACACCTATGCCCGGCTCCCTTATTAACCACTTGACACGACACCACAAAACGTACGTGCATAACAAAACATGACGACAACAGGACTGGGTCCAACTAAGGAGACGCCACCGTGCCACGCCGGCGCCGGCCGGCCGACTAGCTACCTAGTAGTCCTCCGGCGCGAGCGGCTGGTGATGCGTGCTGAGCGGCGCGGCGTCGGTGGCGGACGGGATGACCAGGAACTCGTACACCAGCCCCGCGAGCCCGGCGCCGAGGAAGGGTCCCAGCCAGTACACCCAGTGGTGCCTCCACCGCCACCCGACGAGCGCCGGGCCGAAGACCCGCGCCGGGTTCATCCCGGCGCCGTCGAATGGCCCGCCCACCAGCACGTTGGCGCCGAGCATGAACCCCACGGCGAGCGGCGCGATGGTGCCCACGTGGCCCCGCTTCGGGTCGATCACCGTGGCGTAGTAGGCGTACATGAGCCCGAACGTCATGGCGGCCTCCAGCAGCACGGCGTGCCAGTCGCCGACCCCGGACGCGAGCGCGAACCCCGGCGGGCGCGCGCCGCCCGTGGCGAGGCGCAGGAGGAGCGTGGCGGCCACGGCGCCCAGCAGCTGCGCCACCCAATAGAAGGCCGCGCGGACGAGCGAGATCCGGCCGCCGATCAGCGCGCCGAAGGTGATGGCGGGGTTCACGTGCCCGCCCGAGATGTTGACGGCCACGGCCACCGCGGCGGACAGTGCCAGCGCGTGCGCCAGCGCCACGGCCACCAGCCCGCCCGCCGTGCTCGTGTCGTGGTACATCTTCCCTGCACACAACACAGATGGCGAACCCCGCCTCATGCATCGTCGTCTCGATCGTCAAACACTTCCGATCGGAAGGTGGCATGCATATATTACGTACCGAGCGAGAGGACGGACCCCTCGGCGGCGAAGACGAAGATGGCGGTGGCGATGAACTCGGAGATGGCGGCGCGGATGGTGTCCGGGTGCGTGGCGTCCTCGCTCCGCCCCACCGTGAACCGCCGCCCCGGCCGCACGCCCGTGCTCATGTCGTCGCCAAAAGCTCAAAACCCAAGCAAAACCAGCTGCCTCTGCCGCTAGGGGTGCGTACCTCTGCTTCGTTTCAAAACAAACTGCCGCTGTGGCGGTAGCGTTGTTAAGAGACGAGTGTGCAGTCAGGAGGTGCGGCGACGGCCAGCGCGCGTGGCTTATAACGTGGCCGAGCCGCGCGCGGCGCCGCGCCACGTGTGGGCGCGGCGGCCAGCTGGGCGGCACGTCCCGTCCATGCGTACGCGCTGGTGTCTGCCTTGTGAGCTGCCGTGCTCATCTCTATCCGCGGGGTCCGTGTTCCAGACTGACAGGTCACGGGCACATTACGTTTTCCCTACGGATACATATATGCATGCGAAATCGGAACTACTCTACGGCCAAAACAGAAATGCAATCCTTGCCAGTACAGACCCTGAGAACGGCTCACCCAGAAATCAAACTCGCGCTCCCGTTCAATTCCTTGCTAGAATGAAAAAGTACAGACCCTGATCGGGATTTGGCAACGGCCCACGGGCCACAGGGCCGGTTTTTACAATCAGGGGAGGCCAGTAATTTATTGAGTCTTTGAACTATTTTCCGGCCTGCACGCTTTTATCTCATTTGTTATGAGTTTTACCTAAATGGTTTTTAATGGGCGACATTGCATAAAAAGCTCAAATCTTTCATCATCCGGTGTTTATGGTTAAATATGAATAGTGATCCCCGGATTGACAGATTAAAATATAGTGTTTTATGAAGTTGACAACATTAGCATTATAGACCATAGAGTATAAGATTTATAATAAAATCTAAGCTCTCAGGTAGTTTTATTCACCAAGGCTAAGTGCTATCACATATAAACCATAATGTCTAAGGCCCGCATGGCTCAGCTCTTTAATCCTTGCTAGTACAGACCCTGAGAACGGCTCACCCAGAAATCAAACTCGCGCTCCCGTTCAATTCCTTGCTAGAATGAAAAAGTACAGACCCTGATCGGGATTTGGCAACGGCCCACGGGCCACAGGGCCGGTTTTCAATCGGGGGTCCAGTATGGGTTGGTCTTTGAACTTGTCCGGCCTGCATGCTACAGATTTGTTACAGCAGCAAACTATAGGGGACGGAATTGCTCACTATCATCAAACACCTTAGGTGCATGAACAGTAATGGAAGACAGATTAAAATTAAGGTAGTATGAAGTTGACAGCATTAGCATTATAGACCATAGAGTATAAGATTTATAATAAAATCTAAGCTCTCAAGTAGTGTTATTCACCAAGGCTAAAGTAGAAGCAGAGTGTCAGGGTTAGAGCACTCCTTAGTAATCCTAGGATTACCAAGGAAGGACAGAACCCCAACTTGGGCCCAACACAATTACATACTTGACTTAATTTACATGATTACATTTGCGACCAAACGACCATAGACAGTTAGACTAGCACGCCTCCTCGAACACGCAATCGATCCCTACCAGGTCGAACTTCATTAGCTCACGCAAAGCCGTCCTCTTTGCGGAGTCAAGTGGCTCCTAGAGAACCTCTTTGAAAGAGGCCATGACCTGAGCCGATGCGTTCTGCGGGGGTTGCGAGGTTAGATCCCACTTGGCGGCCAGCATTTTCTGTGCTTGCAGCGTTGCATTCGTGGCACGTGAACTGCATTTGGCCGCAAGGCGTGTACTGCGACGAATGGAGGCAGACGGCGAAGAGTGACGCTTTCGACGTCGCAACGCCGCCTTGATCAGCGGAGTCTTCAGCGGCACTGAGACCCGCTTTGCGAACTCAGCGGCCAAAGATGACGGGGAGGCCGGGAGTTCCTTGGGCGAAGTCAAGGTCGTCTCAAAGTCGCTAGGGAGACAACCATCTCCGCAACATGCCCTGGTTCTTAAGCGGAGCGTCGGTCGGGGGACGGATCTTGGATTGCCGTTTCGACCAACATTGGGTCCAACATCGTATCTGCCATGGGATATGGCAGCTGCGTCTACCGGCTCCACGGTTCGAAGTTCGCCTCAACCTCAAGTCGAACTGCCTCGCACGATGAGCCATGGTGCCAACCTGCTGATGCTCGCATGCGTAAGGTCCCCCGAGCCAGGCACACACGCTGGTCGCGCCTTCTGACACGTGGTACACCGAGGAAAGGTGTGCTTGACCTCTGCCGGCAAGACGGCTAGCCGATTCCCTCCAATGAGCCCGACGCTCATGCGGAAACTAGCTAGCTAGTTAACTCATCTTCCATCTACTATGCACTAAAACACACCAACAAACTCATCGTCTCATCTATATATGCATAGGGTCTAATTGGTTGCAACAATACACACCACATTGCATTAAGGGTTATGCACCTAGCTGCAGTGCCTACACAAGTAAACGTAATTGAGTGTTGTTTGGTTAGACTGTATTATTCCGTTGCATTGTTTATGCCTCTGTTTGGTTGCGTGCATTAGATATCTATATTCTGTGTTTGGTTGTTTGCACAGACAACAAAATGGCAATGGCATTTCGTCGAACACCCTTGGCGCGTCACGTCTCCTTGACCACGGCACCGAGCAGCTGCCGTTGCTGATCCCGACGACCTCCAATCACGCCGCCGTGCTGGCGACCCTGCTGCTCTCCCTCGCTGCCGTGCTCCCCTTCCACGCCGTGTCGGCACCCCTGCTCCCCACCTCGCTGCAGTCCCGAAGTGGATGAGCTGTTGCACATGGTGGTTGCGGTCGCGCCGTTGATGACTGGCCCAACTGTTCCACACGGTGCTCGTCGTTGCCGCTCCTTGTGTACGGCACCGTGGTGCAGGCTTGCTTGAAGGCTATAGAGGTGCTCAAGGAGCACGACACCTACATGCTCGTGGCCAACGCCCGATTTTGCAAGCTGCTGGACATGGAGCTCATTTGAAGAAATCGGGCGTCTCCTCCATCCTCGAGCTCTTCTACCACCCGGATGCCGCGCCGCCATGACCGCTCGATGTCGCGCCGCCGCAACCGGCCGATGTCGTGCCGCCGGGACCGCGTCGGGCCCGCGCCGCCGCGAGGGGGAGGACGTGCCGTGACCGGATCTCGCCGGTTGCTGTGAGGACGAAGCCGCCGCAGCCGCGATGCCATGCAGCCGGCGCTCAGGAGGCCGCGCGCCGCCGAGAGGGAGCCCGCGCACACCGCACGTGCGCGAAGCCGTGCTACTCCTCGGGAAGCCGTGAGATATTGTAGAGCGGATGCAACACTGCAGTGCGCCTGCAAATGCAGGCCTGCATAGGTGGATACGGGAAAATCCTGCGAATAGCGGGATGCAGTCTGAACCTGCATATTCGCTACAAGTTGTATTACGGTAGTTTAGGAAAGGAGTTATGCACACAACCAAATAGACCATATATACTGAGATGAGAGTGTTAGAGAGCGAGGATACGGATTGGGATAGGGATGGGAAGATATTGTATCATAGCCATTGGTTCTTCGCTCCTCATTTAATCTTAGTTATTCATTCATTTTCCTTTTTCTATCCCACCCCTTAATCATACCTGTATCCTAGTTATGTGTAAAAAGTCAAAAAACAAATATTGTTTCCACCCAGTCTAGTAGTTAGATCGCAACATAGGTTACTTTTTTTTTTTGCCGCAGCAGCTGCAGGAAGGGTATCTGATCGGAGGCAAAATGCGCACCGCACTGGAGCTCATTCCTCCCCAGCTAAGCACGAAAATAGTGACCATCCCACCAAATTAAAGATGCACCTCTAATAGGGCCTCAAATCACCAATTCACCGGGGCATAAGTTTCAGCGCTAACACATATGAACTTCACGAGTTCACGTCCTTTTCTCTGATTGCACCAGAGAAATCGATCAGGGAGCATCGACGCAGTACTTCCTGCTCGATTGCAATGTTACAACTGAAAAAGAAAAAAATTGAAAGCAAAACGATTATGGCATACAAATCATATAAGTTCGAAATCAAGAAGATCATGTCGACCAGCCCACACCCTGCATCGTCGTAGAGCTCAACGACGATCTAGCTCTGGTCCGTCGCCGCCGCCGACCTCGTCGATCATCCTGACGATGTCCTGCACCTTGGGCCGCCTGTCGGGCTCGACGGCGGCGCAGAGGAGAGCGACCTCCGTGAGTCGGAGCATGTCCCCGTGGCGTCCCCGGTCGCCCACGATCTCCACGTCGAGGATGTCCGTGGACCACTCGTGGCTGAGCGCCAGCCGCGCCCACTCCGCCAGGTCGCCGTCTTCCTCCACGGGCACCTTCCCCGTCACCAGCTCCAGCAGCACCAGCCCGAGGCAGTACACGTCGGCGCGGGACGACAGCCGCCGGCCGCCGCGGCGCGCGAACTCGGGGCACTTGGCCGCCGCCAGCCGGTGCGCGTGGTGCGGGAGCAGCGGGTGGAAGCCGTGGTCCGTCAGCTTCGGCACCGCCTGCTTCTGCTGTCTGCCATGGGGAGCCGAGAAGAAGACGAGCACGTTGGACGACTTGAGGTTGCCGTGCGGCGGCCGGTGGAAGTACGGCAGCGACTTGTGCAGGTACGCCAGCCCGCGCGCCATGCCCTGCGCTATCGACAGCCGCGCCGGCCACGGCAGCGGCGTCCTCCCCTCGCCTCTGTTTCCTGCGAAACACGCGCAAACAAAGCAAAGGCTTCCATGGTGATCATCATCTCAGCCGACACGACACGGACGCGTCCGGACGAGACGACGTACCATGCAGGAGCTCGAAGAGGCTGCACCCGGGAACGTGCTCGTACACGACCAGCTTCTCCTCCTTGGAGTAGAAACACGCGACGAGGTCGACGACGTTCTCGTGCCGGAGCTTGCCCAGGAGCTGCATGGTGTGCGTGAAGTCCCTGCGCGGCACGTGCGACATGTTGCGCAGCCGCTTCACGACGACGACGGGGCCGGCCTGGAGGGTCACCCGGTACGTGATCCCCAATCGCCCCTTGCCGAGCATCTCCGCCGTGGACCGGAAGAGCTCGTCGAGGTCGAAGCTGGCTGACCCGTCAGCGCGGAAGAACTGCAGCTCGGCCCCCTTGGCGGATTCCGTGCTCCGGCTTCCGCTCCCTCGGCCTTGCTCCACCTCCACCTTGTCCTTGATGTCCTCCGCCGCCGTCACTTTCGCATTGTACAGGACAAGTCCCCGTCAGAAACAAGAAGGCCGTCGCAGAGGAAAGAGGAGTCTGGAAGTGATCCGAATTGTCACCTGCAGCACTGGCACGGCCACCGAGACGGACCTCCTGGCTCTTCTTGTGGTGCAGGAAGATGAACACAGCCGCGAACGGCACCAGCGCCGCGATGAGGGAGATCGCCACGACGCTCCACGCCGCCAGCCTGAACCGCAAGTGCTTCTGTGCCGCCGCCCGACCGCCGTCGCCAGCCGGCCTCACGACCGGACTGCTGCTGCTTCCATACGCTGGAGCACCGGACGACGACGTCGGGCCCTCCCGGCACTCGGCGTTCACAACCTCGCCACAGAGCCTGAGGTTGTGGTCGAACGCGCTCGCGGGGAACCGGCGCAGCGCGCGGGTGCCGGGGACCTCGCCCTGGAGGAAGTTGTAGGACACGTTGAAGACGACGAGCCCGTGCTGCTCGAACGCCGGGAGGGTGCCGCTGAGCAGGTTGTCCTGGAGCTCGAGCCGCGCGAGCTCCCGCAGCGACGTGGCGTACCCGCGCGGGATGGGCCCCGAGAACCGGTTGCTGGACAGGTCGATGGCGCGGAGCCGCGACAGCCCGTCGAGCCCCGGGAGCGCGCCGTGGAGCGCGTTCCCGCGCAGGGACAGCGCCTCGAGCCGAGACACGGCCCGGAGCGCGCCACGCGGGAGCGTGCCCGCGAGCTGCGCGCCGTCGAGCGCCACGCCGACCACGCGCCCGTCGCCGTCGCACGACACGCCGTGCCACCGGCTCCGCTCGCCGTGGCACGGAGGCCCCGTCCAGTTGGAGTGCAGGTCCAGCGCCGACCGCAGCGTGTCGCGCAGCACCAGCAGGTCGCGCCGCTCGTCCCGGCGCTCCTCCAGATCCAACTCCGTCACCTCCGCGCCGCCCCGCTCCAGAATCACCGCTAGAACCCACGAAGCGACGAGCCACCGCCATGGCCGCCACTTGCGTCTGTCACACTTGCTCCCGTTCATGGCGCCCTCGGTAAACTCGCGTCAAGCAGGCAACATGCATGAAAAAAGTCGATTTTTTTCGCCGATGAGGGTGATAAACAGATCGATCCTTGCAGGAGGATGCTTGCCGAGATGTGCAAGGCAAGGGAGGCAGTGGGCAGGAGAGAGAACCATGATAAGATACGTGGAGACGGAGGGACGCCGGTGGTAGTAGGCGGCAGTGGTGCGTGCTGGTTTTTTGGTGGATTCCACGTGAACGTCTGGGCAGTTCGGTCGCGGCTGCAGCGACGGGCCAACCGATCCGGATGGACGCAGCTGGAGTGTGGGAGAAGAGCTGAGACTGAGCTGATAAACCCAAGTGGAAGTGGCCGAGTGCTGAATTGGTTGAGACAAGAGAAGCTGACGCAACCTACGTACTCTTTACTCTTTATGAATCAGTATATATACACGGCGGTGTTTGATTGCTAGTCACATTTTATCTCGAGCGAGTTTGATCAAATGTAGCATTATTTATTGACAAATAAATTTAATTAATATTTTTTTAGTTTGACGTGTCATTGCGTAAAAAAAGCATGGTAAGATTTCTTTTGGTATTGATAAAAAAATTTAGCTTGGCACACTTATCTAAAGTTAGTTATCCTAAACTATAGCTAGGACCAATACAACGTTAATATGTTGTGATGTTGTTTGCTCACAAGTCACAACATGATGTGTATGTAGGATTTTTTTTTTTTGCTATTAGTAAATATGTTCGTGCGTTGCAATGGGACTAGTATGTTTTGATCAAAATCGGATTTCGTACTATCACTAGATGCGAGTCATTCTAACACGTATGAGTTCAGATAGTAAGTCCCGGTCACAATAAGGCATGGAGGGCGTAGAAGTACTTTGAGAATAAAAAACATGTTGGAAGAAACCATTCGCTCTTTAATATTATTATTATTATTGTAAGTAGAGATACAAATATTATTTACCTATTAATAAAGTTTTAGATTCCACTTTTTTTTCTAACAAATATGACGGCACCTAGTGCAACACAGCGGCCTTGCTCAATGTAGCTTTTTAGCACGCAGCTACACTAGATATGCTATATAGCCGCTTTAGAAAAGCGGATGTTATGACTAGATTTGGGTATTGTGTGTGTGTGTGTGTGGGGGGGGTGTATTGCTGGGCATTTTCAGTGATTTTTTTTCTGCACAGTGGAACCTGTGTCCAGGTCCTGTTTACCAAGGCTTACGAGTTGTACCGGTTTTGCTTAGGTCTGATTGATGCTTGTTCTTATCATAAGTGTGTTTTTAGGCACTCGGTGCACAGTGGAACCTGTGTCCAGGCCTTGTCCACCAAGGCTTGTGGGCTGTGCCGATTTTGCTTAGGTCTGATTAATGCTTGTTCTTACCATTAGTGTGCTTTTAGACACTCTGGTTTTTATTGTTTGTCGACTATGCATGTGTTTTTTAAGATAATGAAAAGAAATATTGTCGACTATGCATGTGTTTTTTAGATAATGAAAAGAAATATTCAACTTTGTATTCTAAAATGAGAAAGACCACCCTAGTAAAAAAAGATATGCCAACGACTCAACTGAGTTTACATACAAATTTATCTCATCTCATAACTCAATTCGTGAAATAAAAGGTCATTCAAAGGACGTGAAGAAGGCAATAGCCGATGCAAAAGTGGATCTAGAACCGAAGCCAATACGTTTCCTTGAATAAACCCTTCAGATGAGGTTTTTTGTCAATATTTGTCAAAGATAACCAATTTGGTTCCTTGTTAGCTAATCAAAGATTGTTATTTTTCTGTCTATGCCAAAGAATCCAACAAGTTAGGGTTAAGGGTTGGTTTAGGCAGCTAGGGTCATTTAAGAGTGGTGCCCTGAGGCTTCATCATGATTTAGGGTATGTTTGGCAGGTTGAAACGTTTTTTTTTCTCATTTGAATCACCAGAATCAGCTCCAAACGGGTTTCTTGAACTGAGAATTGAAATTGAAATGATTCACGTTTCCTTCTTCTAGGCTAAAAACTTAGATGGCCTGGTTTCGCACTGTTCCACTCCTCCAGCCCTTGGACCTCTCCTCTCTTCTGACAAAAATTACAGGCATATATTGCCATTGTCTCATTTGCTCATGGTTGTAAATGCTTTAGTTTGCCTTGTAGTAACTCAAGAAAAACTTATCACGTATCGAGGGCACTTTGGTCTATTCCACCATAGTCTTCTCTCTTTCAGATCCAACCAACCAGCCAAATGGTTTGTGGAAGTGATTATGTTTCTCAAAGAAACATTTCTTTAGAGAATCTGAAACGTTTTTCGGATCTCTACTAAATGGACCCTTAGTGGTGTGGTAGTTGCAAGAAAAAAGGAGTTCATGAGGAAAGAAGATAGGAGTTGCTACTATGTCTACTATGTGCCACTAGAGATGGAAGAAGGAGCCACTGTATATGCATTGGAGGGCTAGAACATTTGAGTGTTGTGCCTTCTAGTTCTAGATAGCTTTCTAGAGGTCTAGAGTCGAGAACTTTTCCCCTATGTGAAAACGAAAAACAATCTCTCGTTGGCCATTCCACTCTTAGGCGCAGATGGGGGAACATGATTGCTTCAGTACCTAAATATTTACTAGAGATTTCAAGTATTAGTTCCAAAGTGGTTAAAAAGGACAAAGATAAAAAGAGAGGAAATGGACTTTTGCACTAGTATGAGAGATGATACGTCGCAATCATAAGACGAGTTTGGCTTTGATACATTTTATTTATTTATTTATGTGGAGGGACCTATATTGAAGTACTCTATCTGTTCCAATTATGTAAGATGCTTTGTCTTTTTAGAACGTCGAATAGTTTGGAAGGAAGGGAGTAGATTAAGTAATGTTGCATTATTTCATGTTAGATTTAATATAATTAATTTGATAGTGTAGATAATAATGTATTGTTCCTTAATCTAATCAAAATCAAGTAAAACCTAAGACAAAACTAAAACGGTCTATATTTTGGAATGGAGGAAATCCTTGCGACCACAAAAAAAATCATGACAACCAAAGGTCATGATTGTACCTCGTGCCCATCTAAGATGAAGTCTTAGAATTGACGTCCTATGGACGCATTTGGTTCATGCCACCTAGGCGGCTCTTGGCCCGGGCAGCGTTCCTAGTCGTTTGAAGCGTTTGATTTCGAACGCCTGGGGTGGTGATGGCTACCTGGCCGGCGATGCCCATGAGTAGAGCAACCAAACATGCCATATATGTTTTATTAATACAACAATTCCATTATACATGTCGGACATCATGTCCGTGAATGTCGATGTGCCAACAATATGTATCTTTTGGAGTTGTTCGAGGGAATGCATGTGTTTATAGAGTAAATTCATAAGGGTGTCTGTGCACACGGGTTTACATCTCTATTTTGTTTCAAAGTAAAACTTATTGCTATGATTAATATTTAGTCACTCCGAGCATTGAAATTTTAGTTTGGCAATATAAATGCTATGTGTAAAATTATCTCAAAGAGTATTTGTTAGTCTCATACATTTATGGTATTTACAAGTTACAGATAGAAAATTATAAAAACTCAACGGTGTAAAATATTTTTGATAATACGCGGGTTCTCTGGTTCATATATCCCTGGAGAAGATTAGAGTGAAGTTGCTCACTCGATTGAGCAGTTGCACCAACCGATAGATGGTGGGCCGAAGAAATTGGACGGCTGCGATCTGGTATGAGTGACCTCGGGGGTGCTCGACTGACGAGATGCACCGGGACGCCGACCTTTACTCTTTCTGTACAAGCCATCAGCGTGTAAAGAAAGAACCAGCCTTCACACTTCTTTGGTGGTTGGCTGGGTGACCAAAGAGTGCAAGGAATCAGGAACCGTCTTCGTCTTCGTCTTTATCTTTTTCCTTTCCTTTTTTTTTTCTTTTCCTTTTTGCAGTCTTGTCATCACTTCTTTAATTGGAGCTTCAAAGAAGCAAACAGGCTCTGTGATTGCGTGGGTTATAAGCCCCTCAGTCAGAAGATTATTAGGGCGTAACTCACTGTCTGATCTTTGAGAAATGGGGCAGGAAAAAGAAGATACTGATACTGACGCGTAGCTGCGCGTCTTTGGTTTGAAGATCGCGAGATCCATGCTGAAAAGGAAACCGGAGATTGCAGGATACATAACACAGGTCCCGCTGACAGTCCCCTTCTGAGCTTAGTTTAATGTAACATTTTCTTAATTAAAGAATAGCAACATTTTAGCCTCCAACACACTCTGCCAAACGGTAGCACACAAAGACACGTACAACTCTAAAAATCACTCAAGCTTCATCAGTTCTAAATCGATTTTGCCAACCCGAAGTACCAAAGACTTAAAAGTACACTTCCCTCTATTACACGACAACCTTCCTTCAATGATAATCTTTGTTTCTCTTTAGACAACTGTGACTAGAGCCTGATCCAATATGTTATTCTGAAAATACCTGCAAAAATAAATGGGTTATAGCCCTTTATTTGGAATACAACACCATTTCTGCTCAACAACCACACAACCCGACAAATAATCAACCCTACTAATTAAGGTCCCGTTTGTTAGAGCTCCGGCTCCTTCTAAAAGAGCTCTAACTCCGACTGCTCATTTGGAGCTAAAGCCGTTTTAGAAAATATTTGACAAAAAACGGCTCCAGTGACAATTTTGTAATAATTTATTTTAGGTTCATGAGGAGGAGATGGGAGAAGCCAATAAGCCACCTTTTTCGGCTCCAGCTCCTCTTTACAAAAACGACTTCGGCTCCTCCTGGCTTCTTGTGAGGAGCTATTTATTAATAGACATTTAGCAAGGCTCCTTACAAGGAGCTACAAGAAGCTAGAGCCAAAGTTCTGCCAAACGAAACCTAGAATTTGATTTCTATGATTTGAAGAGAAACTTGTTGCATTGGTTGAATACTAAGTGATAAATATTGCATTCCAAATAGATCTTGCAATAAGTAACTCAATAAAAAAATAGATGTTGAATGGTTTCATCTGAATTGCAAAGCCAACATTTAGTGCAACC